TTGGAAGTGAGAGGTGAAAGGCGCCGGCCCGCGCCCCCCGCTCCCCCCGGCCCGCCCCTCGCTCACTAAGCGGCTGCACAGCGCGGACAGCGGTACCGGGCCGCGCCCGCCGCCCCGCACTCCGCGCACGGCCCCGGTGCCCGCATGGCCGCCGCTTCCGCTTCCGCTTCCGCTCTACCGGCCAGGAATGCCAATCGAGCGCCGCCAGCCAGGCGTGTTTAATCCACCGCCGAGCGCAGCCGTAGCCAGGGCGTTTTGTGGAGATATTCAGAGATATTTCTATAAATAAATAAATATAGAGAGATATATGGATATAGATACATACAGAGAGAGCGCTGTGGGCGGGGGAAGAAGGAGGAGTGGAGAGAGAGGTGGTGTATATCGAGATAGGGGAGAGGTATAGATATGGGCATATATAAAATATAGAAATAGAAAATATAAATAGAAAATATAAATATATATCTATATAATAAACAGAGAAATAGAAAATATAAATATATATCTATATAATAAATAGAGAAATATATATAGAATAAATAGAGAAATATAGAGAGTTAAAGAGGAATATAGATAGATACAAACATGAGGAAACAACAACAAAGCAAAGGAACTGGAAAGAAGTCCCTGGAAGCTCCAAGTGGGTGGGATTGTGTGTGATGAGTGTGAGAGCATCATCACTCTGTGGATTTCCATGGAATTTTATTGCTGTGTGCTGATGAAATACCACAGGGCAGCAGCTGAGCTGGTGCCACAAAACCTATCCAGCCCAGGTTTCTAAAGAAGTCTCCTGAGTTTTATTCACCCTCACCTTGGAGCAAGAAAGAGCCTGGAATTCCAAGAAGCAGGGACAGTGCTGGGAGAGTCCTTCCCCCACCTGGAACGGGGCTTCTGCTCCCCATGGGGGACCTGGAGACATTTCTGGGGGCTCCATGCCCCATTTTTTCCTCATGAGGGACCCAGGACATTGCTGGGAGGCTCCATGCCCCACATGGGGACACTGCTGAGGGCTCCATGCCCCATTTGTTCCCCATGAGGGACCCAGGACATTTCTGGAAGGCTCCATGCCCCATTTTGTTCCCCATGAGGGACCTGGGGACATTGCTGGGGGCTCCATGCCCCACCTGAGCTGCCTCTGCTCTCTGTGAGGGACCTGGGGACACTGCTGGGAGGCTCTATGCCCCATTTTGTTCCCCATGAGGGACCTGGGGACATTTCTGGGGGCTCCATCCCCCATTTGTTCCCCATGAGGGACCTGGGGACATTGCTGGGGGCTCCATGCCCCACCTGAGCTGCCTCTGCTCCCCGTGAGGGGCCCACGGCGCTGCCGAGGCTGGGAAGGAGCCCTGAGATCCCACCAGGCCCCCGAGATCCCCCCAGCCCTCATCCCCGCGGGGTTTGGGCCCTCAGTGTCTGCTCTGTGTCCTGGTTTGGGGTAAATTTGGGGGGAAACATCCAAAAGGGCTCCCCCAGAAAGCAAACCCACACGGCCCCTCCCCACAGCCGGCTCGGGAAGGGTTTCCTCAGAGAGAAGTGGAAAAAACCTGTTTATTTAACAGGCCAAGCACCTCCCAGCACACACAAAATGAACAATACCAGATGACAAAACTCATTTGCAGCTCTTTAGAGATGACAGATTCAGAAAGTCTCTCCTGAGGGGTCTCTCTGTTGTCAGCCCCTCAGCACTGGGCATGGCCGCTGCCCAGAGCAGCCACAAGGTGCAAGCTCTCGGTGCTCCCCGGCTCCCAGTCTGGAACAGCTCCCAACAGTTCCCAGAAAAGGGAAAGGAAAAAAAAACAGTCCAGGGAAAACCCTGCCTCAGCTAGCTAAACTAACTCCAAAGCAAAGGAGCGCTCTGCTCTGCTCCGGCAGTGCCTCACAACACAGAACATGGAGGAGCGCTGCTTTCAGAGGAGGGAGTGCCATCCCTGCCAACAAACTCCGCGCTCCTCCTTCTCCCCGTTTCGCTCCCACAGCCAGCCGTGAAGGCACAGAACACCCAGCATGGACGGAGCACACACGAGTGGGGACACGAGCCCCACAGCGGGGCTCAGACGTGGCCGATGGCGCAGGCCCGCACGCGGGACGCCCACAGGCCCCGCAGCGCCTTCAGCCGCGCCCCCAGCGCCCTCAGCCTCAGCGTGTAGAGCAGCGGGTTGCCCAGGCAGGTGATGGTGATCAGCATGGCCGTGCAGTTCCTGAAGATGTACACCCCGGGGTACAGCTCGCTGTGGCAGCGCTGGTTGGCCGCGTCGAAGATGACGCCGGCCAGGAAGGGCGCGTAGGACACCAGGGCCAGCAGCCAGATGGAGATGCTGGTCCTGGCCACCTGCGTCTCTGCCGACTTGTAGGTGTCCATGGCTTGGCCACACGCCTGCATCCTCAGCTTCCTCTTCCTGAGGATGATGATGATCCTCAGGTAGGTGAAGAGGGGCACGAGGAAGGCCACGGCCACGTTGGGCATGGCGATGAAGACGAGGTAGTTGACGCAGAAGGGGCTGTAGAGCACCGAGACGTTGCTCTCCGCGTGCAGGCAGTTCCAGCCCATCAGGGGCAGGCAGCCCAGGAAGAAAGCCAGGACCCAGCTGATGAAGACCACGGCGATTGAGTGGTTCCTGGCCACCCTGAACCTCGTCCTCATGCTCTCGGCCACGGCCAGGTAGCGCTCGATGCCGATGCTCACCAGGTTGTAGATGGTGGACAGGATGGACGTGGTGTACAGGGAGTAGGGAGCCAGCATTTCCTGGGAGCCAAAGATGGTGATGTCAGGGTTGGTGATGAACAGCATGGAAATCCAGAAGCCGGAGAAGCTGGTGAAGAGGTCAGAGACAGCCAGGTTGCAGAAGAGGATGGAGATGGGCTTGTGCAGGTCCCTGGTGGCCAGGCGGGTGAAGATGGCGGTGCAGTTGAAGATGATGGAGACGACGTTGATGGTCAGCTGGGGGATGCCCAGGGCCAGCACCAAGTAGTGACTCCAGATCTTGGTGTGGTTGGCAGAGCAGTTTGGGAAGCCATTCATGGTGGGAGCTGCTCCGTGGGGCCGGCTCTGCTCATCCCATTCTCCCCAGGAGCTCCCACCTCGATCCCCGGCGCGGATCCTCTCCTGACGCGCAGCTCCTGCTGCCACATCATCATCGTCACGGGGGTTAAACTTTAACCAGGCGTGTTTTTAAATATTTGGGTTGCCAGCTGGGGGCTGTGCCGATCCCTGGCAGTTGCTAGGATAGCCCAAACTGCAGAACGCGTTTCCCACACGGATGAGCTGCTGGAAGCAACCTTTGACAAGAGCAAAACATGCCCAGGGCTTGGCCAGATGGGTGGTGACGCCTGCAGCTTAAAATTCTTCAGGGATGTTCTCAAATGGAGTGAAGTGAATCAATTTAACTCGCAAATTAAGTCGATCATAAAGGACTAGAGAGCCAGGAAAGGGGGAGCAGAGTTTTGTGGGTTCGGAGGGCTGAGGGAGCTGAAATAAACATCAGTGCTGTGTCTCCAGCCTGGACCCCAAGAGCCCAGAAAATGCCTTTTCCCACTGAATTCTTCCAGGATAACACAGCTAAAACCCAGCCAGCCCCACTACCATGCCTTTCCTACAGGGTATTTTGTGTTTATTTCATCTGGCTTGGTCATTAATAAACCAGTACCAACACCAGTGTTGCTCTTCTTTCTCCATCTTTTAAAATGCAAATGGTTTTTGAGAATTTAGATTGAAAATACCTGAGAGTTGGGGGGAGGAAAAAAGCTCTGGGGACACACATTCCATGCTCTCAGCAGAGGGCACTGCTGGAATAAAATACAGAGACAGCAGGGAGATTTTAACCAGCTGAGCAGTCCAGGTGAGCAGGGCAATTATCCACACAAATTATCCATTTATCCACGTTATTTATTCTGATTCAATTGGTATTTTATTGTTACCTTGATGAAGGATTCACCTTCATTGGTCACAATTTTCGGCCACGGCCTTGCCAAGCAGCTCAGCTGAATTTTTGGGCTCCCACACTCAGCACTGATCATTACAGCAGCAATTCCAGCCCCAGAGGTGGGAATCTGTGAACTCTGTTAGCTCTGCCAAATTTAAAATGTAAGAAATTTAGGCTATAATTTTGAGTTTAAAAAGGCAAATTCTTGGGCTTTTTTTTCCCATTGAAGTGTATGAAGGTATATTCAGTTTAATGTGCAGTCAGCACCCACAATTTTTGAGTACCAGGAATACTTTATCATTAATTAATACACTTTTAAAGTGTGATTATTATATTTTATACAAGTAAGGAGTAAGCATTTCAGAATGTCACGAGGGAATGACAACATAGAAATGAGGGCTGAGAATTGACCAGTCAAGCCTGGGGTGTATTAACACCCTATAAAATATTCCTCTCCCAGTGTCCCAGATAAAACTCCCTTTGTAATCCCAGCGGGGCAGCCCTGGCAGCCACAGCTCGGGTGTGAGGTTGCTGCTGAACAAGGGCCCCACTATTTCTGTCACCCCTGAGCCAGCCCAGCAAATCCTTTCCCTCCCAGCAGCAGTGGCAGCACGGCCCAGGTGGGCACAGGACACCTGTGAGGAACACAACATCCAGAGAGCAAAACGGTTCTGAAAATACCCTGGTGGGTAAAAATAACTTATCTGTGAATTTGGGCTCCAAAGGGCTCTAGATATTCCTGAAAATGCTGCTTGAAGTTGCTCTAATTTGAAAATTTGGTGCTCGAGCACAAAATGCTAAACGTTGTGAGATCAGAATGTAATTAAAGTAATATCAAGTGGTATAAATAGCTCTCCACAAAAGATTTGTAATCTGATTTCCCTAATAGAATTGCATACAAATTACCATCATGTTGCTGGATTAAGGGAGACAATAGTGTGGAAGCTGCTTTTTTAGTGGGCTTTAACACACAGAAACCCCCAGATTTGTATATTCCAGCCCTCTGTGATGCAGCTGGGGCTCCCAAAACCAAATAAAAAATACTTTAAATTTAAAACCCAACCTCTTCATGGAACAACCTCAATCCAAGGGCGTTTTCCTACTGCCATATTCCAGGAACTGTGCAGCATTCCCTGTGCTTACCTCAGCATACCCTTGTGAGGAATTATCTGCATCCCATAAATGGGGAAAGAACAATCCCATTGTTTGTTTAAGGTGACACAGGATTCCAGGCAACTCAATCTAATCTCCAGGATCTCGGGCTGTCACCTCAATCACTGTCTGTACCTTGCTGTGGGCAGCCTTTGATTTATATTTACCCAGACTTCACCTCCTGCAACCCTTTTTTTTTTTCAGTTCTGTGATTGCTTTTCCTTTGGTTCTGTGATTGTATTGACACGTCTTTATCTGAATGCCCAATTTATTTTGATGTATGTGTAAGAAATGGCCTCATTTTGTGGAATTATCTGTTGACTGTGCCTGTGGGGAAGGCAATAACCACTGACCACACTGAAGAGAAAGAGGCTCCAGAGGCTTCAGGCTGGATTTTTAGTGGTGGTTCAAGTGTGGAAAACCCAAGTTCACCCAGCTGAGCTCTCAGCCCCAGAATTGCCCCCAGCTGCAGCTCTCAGCCCCCAGTGGGACCCAGAGGGCTCAGAAGGAGAGACCCCAGCTGGGACTCACCAAAACTGATCCCAAAACAGGGAATTCATGCAGGAGCTGAGCCCAGCCCTGCCCAGGAACCCTTGGACAGCTCCCACCCTCACCCTGGGGTGAGGCACTGTGTCCTCTGGAACTGGAACTGGGCCTGGAATTGCAGAGAAAATCTGCATCCTTGTGATGAAACAGGAATGCCACAGCTCAGGGAGGAGGGGAGATGCAGCACGAGCCACAGGTGTGCACACAGGACAACCCCAAAAGGATGAGGGGTTTCAGTGCCCGGCTTCCTGCCCTGTCACATTCCCCATTCCTGCCCCAAATCCTGGGAACTGGGATGGTTCTGCTTTCTCCCCGTTGTCCCTGCACTCAGCTCTGCACTCTCACCACGCTGCAGACACCAAACCTGGGGCAAAACCAGCCAAGAGGCCTGAGCAGCTCAGCAGGATCCCACAAATCCAGGTTTCAGTGTCACGAGCCCCAGCAGAGCTGTGGGATCACAGTGCCCCTCTGCCCCTCTCTCCACGGCCATCACGAGGCCTGCAAGGAAGAAGCAGTCAGGAAAGGGAGTGATACAAATAAGGAGCCTATTTATCCAATTTATGTTCCAATTAATGCAGATTAAAGCCTTCCTTTCTGGAGAGGGAGACACAAATGGGGTGTGTGATCTCCGTCCAAGATTTTTTGGAGCTGTTTTGAAAACACAGAGCTCTGCTCCTCCCCTCTCCAGCCTCTGTCCTGGAGGGATTTTTGCCTCAGGTTTGGGGTGATGGGAGAGAAACACCTGGAGGCAGGTGTGTGTGGCAAGGAAAGCCTCTCCAGGATCAGCGGGGTGTGAGGGAGGCAGAACAGATCCCATCCCTTGTGCTGGGACAGCATTCCCAGGGCAGCGCTGGGGGGAGTCAGAGCCAGCCCACTCTGCACGTGGAGGATGAAGCTGCAATGTTTCTGCTTCACCCAGAGCTCTGAAACTCCAGATTTCCTCTTCAGGGGCGTGGGAGCTCTCAGGAATAAAATGACAGCACACAGCTGAATGAGGAGCACTCTGTTTTCTCACCCTGCAGGGTGGGATTCCCAATCACCCACCAAAAGCCCATCTGGGTTTCCAGTCCCTCAGAAGTGCTTCCCTGGCCCCTGCAGGGCAATCCCTGCTGGGTCAGCTCCTCTCTGACCAGGGTTTGGACTCCAGCCAGTCTCCCCCTCTCAGCCCTTGCTGCCGTGGCTCTCCAGGCCACAAAATAAATGCAGTTTTTACTGGATTTGATATTCCCAGCTGTCCTTCCCTACGGTGTAGCTGTCAGGAAAATCCAGCCTGGAATTCAGAGAGCTGCTTAACTTTGTGTCGCCTCCTCCAAGATGCTCTCACATCTTCAGGTTCAGTGTCCAAAAATCTTTGTGTAAAATGCACCCAGTTCTTGATGGCATCCTGGCATCTCAGTTTTGGTTTTGAAAAGGAATCAGAGCTACCCTGAAGTGCAACGATGCCATCAAGAACTGATACCCAAGCACCTGCCAGGGGAGTTTCCTTAGGAAAAAAAAATATAAAAATAAGGAGATCAAATGATGCCAGCCCTGCTTATTTAGATGACAGCTTTAGAAGGAAAGGGAATGCCTTTGCCTGAGCGTGCCTTTGCTTTCGAACTCAAATGAAGGTTTAATTAACCTGACTGCAGTGCAGTTTATTACCACTTTGATAATGACAGGCTGGAAGGTTTAGAAACAAAAAGAAGAGGAAAAAAAAACCCAAAAGAACACAACAAAAACAAAAAACAAACAAATAAATCAAGAAGCCTGATTTTCAAGACCAAAATTTCTAACCCTCAGCTTTTCAGTCCTGAACAGAGGACTTCAAGGAAATGGAGCAGGAAAATCACACAGAGATGTTGGTTGAGCTCCCCGGTGAGGAGCAGCCCAGGGAAGGAGCAGAGCCCAGGGAAGGAGCAGAGCCCAGGGAAGGAGCAGCCCAGGGAAGGAGCAGGGCCCAGGGGGAATTGTCTCTTGGATGCCCTTGGAGCTGCAGAGCTGCTCTGCGTGCTCAGCATCCACCTGGCCCCGCAGGGACTGGAGGGACAAAGCCACCAGCCCCTCATTGTTCTCCCCTGCAGGAATTATTTACCTCATCACCTCTTGCGGGGTGGGGAAACCCTCCCCGGCAGATCTGCGCGGTGGGAATGTTCTTTACAGCCCCTTTTTATCAATAAAGGAGCTGCTCCTGAGCTCTGCCACCCCTCTGGGAGAGCAGCAGGGCAGGGAGAGATTCCTCAGCTCCTTTTTTATGGAATTCAGCTCTGCTGGATGACTCTGCAAGCTCAGCTCAGCTGGGGAACATCCCTTCCCTCTGCCCATCCTGCTCTTCCTCCCAGCCCAGCTCTGGGCTTGCACCCCCACGGACATTTGGGGAAGGAGTTTGCCTCATTTGTATTCCTCAGCTGGATCAAAATCCACCCCCAAAAATCCCAGAGGTGATGCTGTGTCTGGAGTAAAGCTGCGTCGCTTTTCTCTGCTGAATGTAAAGTCTGAGTTGCCCCTGAATCGTGTTTAATTAAAAAATAATTTAGATGGGAAAACAAAGGGGACCAAAATGAAAAACCTGTGAATTTATCATTCTACAGAAGCAGAGAGCTGAGAAAAAGGATTATTAAAAAAATGTGTTGCTGTTTAATTACATACATAAGGTGTTGTATGTCACCTAATTAACATTTCCTGTTGCTGCACATGGAATTCCCATTTTCCAGTCCCACAAATCAACTCCAATCCTGTTTGGAGAGCTGGGGGGTAGAAGTGAGGGGGAGTTGGGGTTTTATTTGTCTCCCTGGGTTTTTTTTTTAAAGGAAACATTAACACATGTATTAATTGAATGTCACGAGGCTGCCAGGGGAAAAACTCCCAGTAAATTAAAATGTGGCATTTCACTCTGGCTGCTGAAGCTGTGCAGGTTACAAAACCTCAGATATTCACTGAGGCTCCTTGCTCAGTGCCAGAAAGCCTCACTCCTTTTGCCATCCACTTTGGAGAATGAATAAATCCAGGCAAATCAGGAGCAGGGCAAATCTGGAGAAATTACAAAGGGGAGGAGTTCACCTTCCTGCTATGGCTTTCAGGTCTGTCCTGGACTACTTACTCCAGTATAAAACTGAGAGCAGAAATGTGATCACATCCTGAGGAGGCCAATCAATTCTGGTTTCAGCACGGAGCCTATTTAATCTGGAGAATGGAATTGCTGCTCCTTGCTGTGCTCTGCCTGCACATTCTCAAGACAGAGGCAGTAGGTAAGTCCTTCCCTGCTCTTTCTAACCCCACCTTAAGGTTTCTCTTATTTCTGATTTGTTTCTGACTATCAGGACATGCAGTGCAGGCTCTCTGATTCTTCTCTCTGGTAAATGAAGGATGATTGATTTGTTTATTTCTCTGCCTTTTATTTTTTTGTGTTAAAATATCAAGGACATGCTTTTCTCGTGAATGAATGAGTGCTTTGGGGGTTTCTTTTCACCTTTAGAGATTCTATCTGCCTTCCTCCTCCAAGAAAAATCAATGAGCTTTGACTTGATCTCTGTATTTTATTATGTACATGTATTTAAAATACCAAAACTTAATTTCTTTATCTTTAAAATCCCTTGAAACTTGAAAGAAATCTCTTGTTTGACATTTCTACTCCCTTTGCTTTGCTGTGTATGATCCAAGATGAAATTCTGCTGAGGGAGACAGAACAATATGTCTTTGCTGCATCAGCCCAGCAGCCCCATCTATTTTTGCTCCCTGGACACTATGAGTACACTGTGCACTTAGGATGGCTCAATTAAATAGTGATCTATAATTGGTATTGAAAAATGCAGGAGGTATTTCTTCCCCTGCTTCTGTTCAATCAGCAGCCCTGAATAAATCCCTTTTCCTATGCAAATACCAGCACAGAGGCTCGAAATTAAACACTGCAGCTCTTCAAAGTGACCAAGGGTCCATTGTTTGCACTAAAATAGAGCAGAGTGCAGCCAGGAGAAAAGGGACCCGGCAGGAGCAGGGGGAAGTGCTGCCCTGAGATCTGCTCAAGGCAGATGGTGTTAAAGCAGATCAAGGTTCAGAGCTGCTCCAAAAGTCCTCAAGGGCTTCCCTGTATTTATTTCTCTGCTCCTAATGAATTCCCTGTCCCTCAGCAGCTTGGCTTTCCCCCATTCTTAGCTGGAATTCCAAGCCTTTCCCTCTGCTGCAGGGCTGCTCTCCCTGCAGGGGCTGCCCCACCTGGGCCAGGTGAGCACAAACACTAAAAAAAGCTTTTCTTTTCCAAAGTCTGCCCCTCGTGTTTGCTTCTGATCAATCCCTGGCTACCAACACTTTGCCAAATTTACTGCCCCATTAGGGGCTTTATTGGGCAAACCTAAAGACTATCTAGAAGACCCTTGTAACTTGATTAGATTGGTGTTAATAATTAGGGTTTACCTCTCTATCAGAAGGAAGTAACACGGGGAAAGCTTAGATGATAATTTGGCAGTTTTTGCCCCCCTGATTATTTGCACGTTCTTCCTTGAGTGTGGACCAAATTACACAGTCATTAACACACAAGAAATTTGCTCTCTGCACCTTCTTCTCCAAACTTTCCTCTGGCAGCAGCTCCACAGGATACAATCTATGAAGTTAAAGGCTAACATTTCCAGAAACTCCACTGTTGAGAATCAGCTGAAATTCCTCCTTGTATTCTTTCTTGTTGTTATCTATATTTTTTTTAAAGAATAAACCTTTCCTTCCTGACTTGCCACTTGTCAGAACCAGCCTGGGTCTGATCAGCTCGTTGAGCCCAGCTCCACCTGGGCAGCTGATAACTCACTGAAACAGTGAAATGACTGATTGCTAATCTGGAATTGCTGCCAGCCTTGTCTGAACAGCAGAGCACCTGGGGCTCTAAATCACCATTCACAGTCCTTAGAGGGCTTCCTAAGGAAGGGAGGGGCATTATCCCTGTTGTAGGAGAGGGAAACTGAGGCAGGCTGGTACAGGCACCTGCCCAGGGATGAAACCTCATCCTCACCCAGGTCTCAGTGTGTTCCATTTACAGCTGCTCTGATCCCCCTCGGGTTTCTTGTCTGGTTCCTTTGAGAGCTCAGGGACCCTCTGGTTCTGTTTTGGGGGAAAGGAGAGACAAAGTGTCTGCAATTTCCAGCAGGAATGCTCCAAACCTTGTGAGAGTGAGGGATATCCCTCCATCCATCTGTCCGTCCATCCATCCATCCATCCATCCATCCATCCATCCATCCATCCATCCATCCGTCCATCCCTCCGTCCATCCATCCATCCATCCATCCATCCATCCATCCATCCATCATCCATCCATCCATCCATCATCCATCCATCCATCCCTGTCCATCCCTCCATCCATCCATCATCCATCCATCCATCCACCATCCATCCATCCATCCATCCCTGTCCATCCCTCCAGCAGCTCTGGGCTGGGGGTTACAGCAAAGTCACTGAAAATTAATTTTCTTCAGGGGGAATGGAATGAAACCCAGCACGTTTTAACCTTTTGCTTTATCACAGAGCAGGACTCAGCCATGAGGAGACAAATCTCCCACAGTCCATGCTCTGCTGCTCCAAAAGATTGCTGCCTGATAGGACATTCCTCTCATTTAGATGAGATTAGATCCCTCTAATTTTCTATATTTCTGCTCACATGCTTTTACCCGTCACAAACATTAAATTTACATAACCATGCGGACATTGGCATCAATTCTCACTCTGGGGTTTCCTCAGGGCCTTTCAGGTACAAAATATACAAAATATCCCTGAGAGCTCCATCAGCATTGTAAAAAAAAAAAAAAAGAAATAAAAAGATGCTGTGACTTCTTCCCTTTCCAGTTCTAGTGGAACTGCACACAGATTTATGGTTGGGCTCCAAAGCCATTTTAGAGCTGGCAAAGTTGGGATGCTGGCAGACTTGGACACACTCTGGGGTGAAAAGTTGCATTTTCAGCTGATTAAAGCAAGGATAATAAATGCAATGTAAGACCTGGAACAAGGCAGGGAGCCACAGGAATTATGGAATTACCCTTGTGAAGGGTTTAGGTCACCTCTGGAGTCTCCACGGGTCGGAATCCAAGCCCCTTCCCCAGGGATGAGGATGATCCCGCTCAGTTTTATCCATGATTTCCCCACGGATCCTCCTGGCTCTTCCACTGGGATGTTGGAAGCAGAAAAGCCTTTGGCACTTTGGAAAAAAACCAGCAGAAACCTTGAGGTCTCCTAGAGAAGCTGCCAAGTGCAGGGTCTGTCTCAGCGCAGGCTCTTTCCCTGCCTGTGGCATTGCAGGAGATGTTTGTTGTGTTCCAGCATCTATCCAATGGCCTCTGATTAGATTTTTAGTCATATTTTTAGCCACAGGATCAGCCATCAAAAGCTCAGCATAAAAGGCTGCAAGAGGCCAGCAAAGCTACTGAGTGATTTGTTTGAATTAAATTTTAAAAGTACTTCAAAATGAATAAATCTGAGTTGCATTTTTATGACAGAAAGCAAAGCAAAACCCCTCACAGGAGGAAATCACCTTAGCCCTGGATACTCATTTTTGTTACAGCTCCTGCCTTTGACACAGGACATTTCTGAGGGCACATTATCTGCAGCAGGGGATCACAGGTCCCAGCTGAACACCTTCCCCTGCTCTCTGACACAGAGGAAGTCGTTTGCAGATGTTAAATTGTTCATATCCAGAATCCCGGAGCCCCTCTGGATTTTCCCTGCAGTTTGTGTCTGTTCCAGAGGCCTCATCCAGCTTGTGATTTCTGTGTGCCATGGCAAACATCAGCCGTGCAGCCTCGCAAGGCTTCACCTCCACAATAAAGCTGATTTGCAGGGCCAGCTCCCCATCCTCTCCTGCACTGTGCCCCAGGGAAAACCAAATTCAGGTTAAAAGTGAAGAGCAGTGAATGGGCTCGCAGAGGCTCTCAAACCTCGAGGGGAACTTTTGGAACTGGTTTTGTCTGTCAGAGGGGTGACTGGGGCTTCCTGAGGATGTGTAATGCTTCAGGAGGCAGAAATATTCTCATGCCTATATGCTCAGCAATCCCATTAATTAGAAAGACAGGCTTAAGTAACAATTGCTTTTGTTTTGTCTTTTGCACTAAAAATAGAAAGTTTCACAAAGCCAGCTAAAAATAGGATGGGCCCAACACAAGCCAAACCTAAAAATAAATCCCATGCAAACCCAGCTTTTGCCATTTTGCTGGAAAAGGATGCAGAGGTGAGAGCAGATTTTGGGGATGGATTTGAGGAGCCAGGACAGCAGAGCAGGGAGAGCTCTGGGGGCATCCTGGGACCACCAGGAGAGCAGGGAATGGCCAGGCAGGATGGCTGGAAGGGGGACAGGAGGCTAAAGGGACAAACAGAGGACTCAGGTGAAAGACAGGAGGGATTTGAATCAAAAACCAACACAGGACATTCCTGTTGTCCCGGGCAAAAAGGTCATTGACACTCCCAGAGGCTCAATATTGTTAATAAAACAAGCAAAAATAATAATAAAACCCGCAAAAATAATAATAAAACCCACAAAAATAATAATAAAACCCACAAAAATAACAATAAAAGCTGCAAAAATAATAATAAAAATGCAATAATAATAATTAAATAATAATAAAACCCACAAAAATAATAATAAAACCCACAAAAATAACAATAAAAGCTGCAAAAATAATAATAAAAAATGCAATAATAATAATAATAATTTAAAGGGCAAACCAGAAGGTGAATGAAGCACAGCCCCTCTCTCAGAAGCAGGAGTTGAGGCAGTTCAGGCTGTTTCAGTGGCTCACAGGTTAAATGGCATTTTCAGCCCAGCAGCTCCAAGCAGGGCAGCAAGCAGCGCACAGTGGGACAGAGCAGATTTGGGAATTTTGATGGAATTCAGACAATCTGAGCGTGGTCCAAAGAGCCAAAGGGTCTTTTCCTAGATCTCACAACAGCACCTTGGCAGGGCTGCTCCAGCCTGGCCCCCGGCCAGCAGCACCTCCCACCCCCTGGGCAGGACAGGGAGGTCTCAACTGCACCAATATTTAATTTATTTTTTTGTCCCGAGCTTCCAAACGAGGCTTGATAGCTAAAACAATTGAAAATGTTTGCAGTGAAATGAAAACAAGACGTAATTTGTATTGTTTTTTCGGCCTCCCCCGTGCCAAGAAGCAGCTTGGGCAGGAACCAGTTGTAAATTCCAGGAGGAAGAGGCAGAGATAAGTGGGACTGCTCACGTGCCAAGAGAGACTCCCTAAATTTAACTGTGCTGAACTCTGTGGAGGAAGAGCCAGCCCTGTCCAGCCCTACCCTAAGCTAAACCAAATAAAGTCAAGGTGACACCTGTGGGATGGGGCAGAACCACTGAAATCAAGGATAAATCCATAATAAAATGTAAGAGAAAGATGGAATTGATCATACAGTGAGTCCAGGTGTGCATATCTATATCTTTATCTATATCTTCATCTTTATCTGTATCTATATATTTTTATATCTGTATGTCACAGCAATGATTTCAGCACCTCAACCATAAAAACAAACCAAAAAAAACCACCCTAAACTATTGAAAACCTCACTTTCTGCTGTGTTCTTCCAGCAATAAAATGAGCTGCAGGGAAGAGAGAGTGGGAGCTGAGGTTGGATGGGAAGAGCAGAGCAGGGTGGGACCTGAGGGCTCCCAGACCCCATAAAAATGGGGCTCAGAGGCAGATTTTGAGGAGGGGGCAGTGGGAGGGTGAAGGCAGTGCTGTCAGAGGGGACAGAAGATGAATGAAGCCAGGACAGGAACTGCAGATGAAGAGGGAACTGTTTGGAGGCTGTAAACACCAGGGAGGGAAAAGAATTGTTTAGGGTGGTTCGGTGATATTTCTAGGAGTGATGGGATGCAGATAAGGGAGTGGAAAATGTAAGCTATTAAATAGGAAACATTTCCTGACAGCGTGGCCTAATGCACTGTGCAAAACTCTTCCAAGGGAAGTGGCAGGAGCCTCTGGACAATTCAAAGTGGCCTGGACAACGTGCCTGAGGCCATAATCCTGCCCAAAACCAGGGAGAGCTGCCTGGATGTGACAAGGAGCTTCCCCAAAGCTCAGGGGAAGAAAGAGCCATTGTCATGCAAGGTTCCTAAAGGGAGGGAGGCTCACATCCCACTCCCATCAAATCCAAATGTAAATTTTCCTCCTCGGGGCCTGAGCAGCAGCCACACAAAGGCTCCTGTTCCCCAATGTTCCATTGCTGCAATCAAAAAAAGAAAACAAACCAAAAAAACCAGCCCTAATTCACACTAAACATGAATCCACTGTTTGCTCAGGCATTCTGTAATGTTTAATTAGCTCGTTCTTCAAGGTTTAACAGCTTCAAGGACATTTCTCTTATGAAATGCTGGATTTATGTGCTCTTCTACTTCACTGATACCATCCAGCCACACGTGTGGTAAGGACTTGGTAGCAAACACAATTCTTACCTTGTTCAGAGACATTGGGAATTTGGTGGCAAGATGCAAAAATCAGATAATGATTATGAAACACTCCTGAGTGCTGGCTGTGAGGCAGCTGTAGCCACTGAGGGCTGGGTTTTCAAAATTAAATTTTATTTTATTCAACTTTTTCTCCCCATCATTTTGACGCCCAGGCTGGAAGATCTGTGGTGTGCTCAAGTGTCAGTTTATTGAGAGGTGAATACTGAGAGGTTTATTTGGCACAACTTGCCAGACACCTCAGGGGAAAAAACTCAGGGGGTAAAAACTCAGAGATTTCTGTGTTTGAGAAGGGTGGGACAGAACCCATTTCCATTCCCCTGGCTCAGGACCAGCACAATCTGGGGATAATTCCCCTTCCCCCTGTGGCTCTCTTTGAATTTGGTGGTTCCAGGGTAGAGGTTTAAAATCCCCACAGCCTCCACGCTGCTGTCCTGGCTCCCAGCTGTGGCTCACACCTGGAAAATCGGATTTGCGTTGCAGAAATGCTTTGATGTCCAGGCCATGCTCCCACTCCACTGTGAAACCTCCTGGAGCTCCCAGCCTGGAGCTCTCACCTTCCCCCTCTGCTTTCCATCCCAAAGGTTTGGCAGCAAATCCTTCCAGGTTATTCCTGCTGGGTTTTTTTCACACCTGAAGGTTCCTTCGTGTGTAAATTGCCAAGAAACTCCCAGTCCCAGGCTGCTGGGATTGTTAAAAGTTCACACCGACCCCAGAG